TTTTTTTTTTTTTTTTTTTTTTTATCACAGAAACCTACCGGTTTGCACGTTGAAGCCAGCGTCTTCTGCATCGTGGGCAAAGTAATCTGCACCAGCGCTTCTTGAAATATCTTCTTGCGGATAGTGCTGCTGTCGTAATCATATTGCTGTCAAAACAGGCAAAAAGAGAAACAAGCCCAAACGTGTCTGGGGTTATTCATCACTCACGGGAGGAACTGGTTCCTGTTAACCTGTAACTGGTGATGGGTGAATCCCAAAGGATACCAATCACGGCCGCACTCGGGGTTTGAATTCTCATGCAGGTTATTTCAGCTTTTACAAAAATTCCCTAAAATTTGGTTCTCTGGGGTCATTTTTTTTCTACCTAGGCAAGAAACAGCCCCCTGGTTGCTCTCTCTAGGTGTTTCAGCACTGCCTCTTCTGAGAGCAGCGAAGGCGAGGGGCAGGCTAATTCTAAAGCCAATAAACCAAGATTTGCCCAGATCCACAGCATCATCTCCAGCCGATTTAATTGCAGCTAAAAAGACTGCACATGTAAATATTTTTACAAGAGTCTGCCCAGAGGTAGGTTTTACTCCCAAAAGAAGCAGTTTTGCTAAGTGCCACCAAATCAGCATTCCCAGCTGGATGGTAACAGACACCTTCTTTGAAATACTGAGATAAATTCACATGGAATATATTCTCAGTTCCCAAAGAGGCGGAACCCAAGGTCTTCCCGTGCAAATGCTGCAGCGTTACGTTTACCTTCAGGACTCTCAGCTTGACTTTTTCAATGGTTGTTGCAACTTTTGCTGAGTCTGCCTGGCGACTCGGAGAGAACAACTGCTCAAAAGTGTAAACTGCGTTTTCCATCAGCTAAAAGTAATAGTTAAAAAAAATCTGTTAAGGACCAGTAACATAAAATTCCTATACACATTCAGAAGCGTGATAAATGAAACCATTAACTTAAATTGCATTTTTAAGAAGGTGAAACAGAGAAAGAATAACTGTCCTAAAAATCAATAAATATTTCAAGTACTTTACATGACTGTGGAAAGGGAAGAAAAACCTTGTTTGGTTTAGACTGCAACACTCAAGTTTTGGAATGGGAAACCAAAAAGAAGATTATCTAATGCCAGAGAATAAGAAAAGAAAGCTACCTCAGCTTCCATCCGAAGTTTACCGGCAGGTCAATACTAGGAAGTCTGCTAATGTAACTAAAGAAACAGTTGTATCACAAAACTCACTCAGGGCAGATTTGTTTACATTGTCCAAAAATTTCCTGCTGTATTTTAGTTCTCTGAAGGCTAACATGCAGAGAAATGTTGCAATAAATCAAGAAAATTCAGCCTTGGTGTCATTATTATGCTCTCATAGCTTTCCTGTATAGATTTAATCTCATTGTCACCATCTGAACCGATGGTGACAGAGACGAAAAGTAGAATTGATCACAGACAAAACTCATTATCCCTAATAAGAAGACTCCCACTGACTCCTACCACACTCTAATGGTCTTAAGTCATTAATACTGCAGGTAATTTTTTAAAAAAGTAATTAATCAGTATTTCCTTATAATACAATTATCAGCAAAAATCGCACAGAGCACAATAATTTCTCACAGACGTCTGTCAGGCGGACATTTGCCAGATTTTCAGGTCATCCAGAGATTCATTAAAAACATTCTCTGAAAAGATATTTCAGACAAACAGTTCTGCAAGCAGTTACTATGTCTACTTAACGAGGTTTTGCCACTATGTCTACTTAACGAGGTTTTGCCTTTTTCAGCTGCAAATTTACTATATTCTTACTGGAGAAGCACAGGGACACCCCCGGGGAGGCTGTCCATACTGCCAGCTCTTCCTTCGCCTCACACGGGACCGTCCCAGCCCATATACCTATAGCCATGTACCATAAAGAACTTTTTGTAGTCTGTAAACAAATATCTACAGACGTATGGATAAGACATGCTTTTAACTCCTCCTTGGCTAGTAATATTTTCATGAATTGAAACAGGCCGAAGGTTGATTTTTCTGACCGACTTTGCAGATCGTGTAGGATTGGACTACGCAGACTGCATTTATAAATGGAAATGGAGAAGATGGAGGTTCACCCAATCTGTGTGTGCATCAGAAGGCTGTACAGTAAAGGCTCGTGCCCTGCAAGACCATGGATACATGAAAAAGGATCGGTGTAGAGTTAAGTGTGGCTAATTCAAAGATTAACTACGCATTTTTTATTTCAATTTTTATTTGAAGCAAATCATAAATTGACGTAGTCCTGGTGAAGTCACTAAAGCCACTTGCTTTATGCCAGCTGAGCGCTGCGCTCCCAAATTTCCTAAAGTTGGCCACTAGAGGATGCCAAGCTCCCAAGCCAAGGAATCCTGCTCCAGCCTCCATCCGAGTTAGACTTAAGCCAAACGCTCCTTTTATGTTAAGATCACACGACACAGACATGTCTGACCTTACTACTTACTATTTTTATGAGAAATACCAGCCTTTTAAAGAGAGAGAAGAAATAACATCATTTTTTAAATTAAAGCACAAATTGTTCTAACTTATTCATTGTGAATTTTGACTCCTGTCCAGGAAAAAAAAGACTGCTTGGTTTGGAGGGGATATATTTTCTGTCTACTCCTTTGTCTTGACTCATGGTCCTCACTTATCGAAAGACATTTAATTTGGCAGCGTTTTGGAATGGTCCCCCCTGAAAGACCCAGACACGAAATCAGAATTTTCTTTCTGAATAATTCTTCGGCTGCTGATCATGGCTGTACTTAGAAGAGCTGCTGTTAGGAACACCCATTCCCAGCACCATGCTACAGACTCGCTTTCCATACTCGTAACTGCCACTCCACAGAACTGGACCAGCTCCGTTTCACAAGGTGACCAACTCAAATATGTAGTTTCTCAGCTATGGATGAAAATCACAGGATTCCACACAGAGCTACAAGGCCAAATCTGCCTTGTGATCTGGCAACGGAAAGAAGTCTACTGGCCAGCTCCTAATAGATTTCTGGCCAGGCATCCAGAAGAAATAAAAGCAAAGCAAAATTATAGCCTACACCAACACACACTAGAGGGGAAAAAGAGGTGGAGTTCTTTTTCCATCTGAAATGATGGAGTCACTTCAACCACTCCCATGAGAAGTGAAGCTGGTTAAAGCATCTACATGCAGCTACATCCTGAGACGTCATCTGTGTCCAAGTAATTGCCAGTTTCTAACATTAATTGCCTTTAGTTTATATTCGTGAGAAAATAAACTACCAAAGAGCAGATGTTCCATTTTGGTAAAATATATTTAAGACCCTTCCTGAAAAATTAACCCTTGAGAATGGAAATCAGGTAGATTTTAGCCACCCCATGGGTTACAAGCACAACTTTCCCGGGTGCTGAGACACTGAGAATTTGGAACATGAAAGTTCAGGGGAAGAGATGATCCATCCAAAATTTTTGTGCCTTGCTGAAAGACTCACATGCATGCAACCTCAGAAATACAAATGTGAAACAGCTTCTAGCTGTGATTTTCTTAGGTTTTGTTATCTGTACTTTGATTGAGAGATATCCTGGGACAGCTTTTGATCAAGATTACTTTGAAGCGGGTTAGGACAGACCTAACCTGTTCTCCCAGGAGGAAAAACTGGATCTTACAGTACCTCCTGCATGAAGTTCTGCGTCCTCTGAATCACAAAATCGATGTGATAGACCTTGAAGCGACTCTTGAGGTCTTGTAGGAGCTCCTGGAGGAGGTTCACTTTCAGATAGCAGGGCTCCATTTTCACAGAGTTGAATGGTAGGTTCATAAGCTGATCCACGTTCTGCATTCCAGTGGAGGAAGAACAGGTTAGGAGAGAAAGCAACCAGAGGGGAATCTTTAATAGAGAAAGGAACAGGTTAGGAGAGAAAGCAACCAGAGGGGAATCTTTAATAGAGAAAGTAACAGTGGCCCTAAACCAAATTCTGGTATCTAGGCTCTAGTTGCACAAATACCACCAGACCTTCTAAATGACAAAACCAAGCACTAACACACTGTCACCTGGGAAAGCAAACACTGCTGTCAGTCGAGCTCTAGCTAGAAGGTCCTTCTGCTAATGTAAAAGGCTCCAAAATGCATTTTTGTCTTACCTCCTTTAGCTTCGTGATGTCATTTGTCTTCTGGAAGTCCTGGATGATTTCATTAACTTCTTTATCAAAAAGCGAGCGGACTTCAGTGAATCCAGAACTCACCGGACCCATGAGCTCCTCTAATATGGACGTGAGAAATGGCTGGATGTTTTCTGTGCAGCACTTCTGGGCAGGCTCAGAAACAGCGGCTGGAGTGTCAGACAACACAACGGTTGCGTTTAGGTTACTAAGAGATGTAGTGAAAAAAGCCATCTAATCTGAACTGATTTACTTAACAATGAATTAAACGACTTCTTCCCTGGAGTCATACCTCCACAGAGATGATGAGGGTGATGAGAGCTTACAGTTTTATGGGTGGCAGTGAGATATCTTTTCCCAGGCCCCACCCAACCAAACGCTGGCAGCTCTGGGGCACTGTGAGAGCAGAGGAGAGGGCAGCTGTCGGTACCGACAGACACCCAGAGAGCGTGGCCACAGCGACTCTACGAGGAGTTATCCGAGCTGAAAGCGTCCTGGTCTGGTATGTGAGAATATCAACAGAACATCTTGAGTTTTACCAAAACAGCCTCTATTTCATCAGCTATTTGTTTATTTGCTAGCTTCAGCAACGTCCACTAACGTTTTGCCTACTTTTTACATTTTTTATATTCATAGCAAAATTCTAATTATTTCATATTAGTTTCAAACCACCTAAGGAGCCTGTTGGATTAAACGTTCTTTGGCAGCCTATGAATTTATCACATGACCAGAATCTGTTTTTGTGGAGCATTTCTAGAGACCAGGTCAAAACCACTACAGTTTTAATGATGCTCATGCAACCTGTATCTCCATTACATAAGGCTGTCCAAGTGAAAACCAAAGAAAGTAGAATGAGCAACTCCAATCAGGACACTCAAAACTCATCAGCTCCAGATCCAACTTGAGAAGACCTGGTATTTCCACAGACACAGTGGCCACAGGTACCAGTTCCCATCAAAGGCAGCAGAGGCTCAAAGCATTTGTTTTCTAAAAATTAGTGTCTCCAGTTGGATTTTTGAAATCGTATGAGGATTTCAAAACAATGACATCTGGTAATTCGAGCAATGCAACAGGAAACATGAAAAAAATTGCTCCGAAACACAGCTGTTCCTCCACTCACCTTTGATTTTTCCAGCTAAGAAGTTCTTGGAGTTCAAAATCTGATCCATGTCCGAGCGAATGGTTCCCTCAAGAGTTTTTGCAAGATCTCTGCATTCTTCTTTCAAGGTACTCAATTCTTCTGACACCTGCTGCTGGACTAAGCCATAAGTTTCTTCTACGATCTAACCCAAATTAAATTAAGAAGCATTGATGAGAATCAGCACACGCAGACAACAGCTATGAGAAACGACGACTCTGCAAGTATCAGCACTTACACCAAACCAGGCCCGCTTCCTATCATTCCTCTTTCCTTTCATTTTAGGCAGGATCATCGTCTGAAGGTTAGGCAGGAGTTCCTCCATCACAAGGTTGCTCAGGATCTATATGGTCAGAAGATAAAAATGACATGTTCACACACTGCTCTTCACCTGCAAACTGAGCACTCACATCACAGAACGATGTGCAAGCACCGGCAACCCCAAATATACGATGGCTCAGCTATTCCAGGTTGCTGGAAGGACTGGATTCAAAATATTAGGGATGCCTGAGGGAAGCTCTCTGCATTTCATCTGAAGCATTTTTCACTGAAAGACTTGGAGAGACCATGCAGCAATGGACAACAGATAAACTAAGGTGCTGAACTAAGACGCCTGTTAAAATTTACTACATGCTGTTATGAAATTGCCCTGCGAAAATCAATGGAGGTAAAATGATTGATATCCACTGAGCAATTGGATCAAAAACATTTGAGAAATTGGTTTGCTGACTGCTGCTTCCTCAAACTGACCTTGTTCTGGGACATCTACGCTCTCCCAGAGGAGGGAACACCAAAGAGAAATTGTTGTGAAGAGTCATCAGACAAAGGATGCTTCTGATAGGAAGATAATTGGCCAAAAAAAGAAATATATGATTGTACCAATGTGAATCTCTGGCACTTTTTTGGGTGAGCACCAGCCTCATAATTCAAACAAGAAAAGAAGGAGATCCCAGGAAAAACAGGATATAAGGCAGAAATGGAATCCAGTAATGTAGCTAATCTGTGAAACAAATAATTCTACTCTATCTGATTTTTTTCAAAAATGTGTAACATGATCCAAAAGATTCATTGGCTCCAGCTGAATCCTGAGGCAAAAGGGATAAAACAAAGAGCTGTTGGAGTTCATGAAAAACTTTTCAAGCAATTACTTTTGTTACTAAAAGACAACTATACTGGTTTAAAACCTTCACATTGTACAGTTCATGCATGTTAAAGTCTCCTCCCAGCACCTCCAGACTCTTCAACAAAAAATATATGAAATACATGACCTAAGAAGACATTTTGTGACAAAGATGCACCACAGCAGAAAGGCAGGGAGAAGAAAAGTGTCAAGGGGACTTCTACACATCAGGCACTCACGATGGAATGTAGGAAAACTGAGGAAATGTATCATTGCCCTATTTTTTTGATTATTTCTGGGAGTGTATTGTCAGTCTGTCATTGCTGTATTTTTCTAAATTGACACCAAGTCCTTTTCTCCCTCAAGAACGTTTTCACTCTGAAAGAGGGTTCAGTGATTGTAGAAGAGATGCATCACCCTCCCTGATCCCAGCATCGAACCGGCAATTTGGTCCTGCAGATGGTTCCACTTAGAAAGACAAGACATCAGCCTGGGAATACAGATGATACCAATTTGGGGGAGTGGTCAATCCGCTGGCAAGCAAGGCTGCTATTCAGAGGGACCTAGATTGGATGAAGAAATGAGTGGACAAAAACCTCATGAAGTTCAGCAAAAGCCAATGCTTAGTCCAACATCTGGGATGGAACAATCCCGTACCCCAGTACAGGCTGGCAACAACTGGCTGGAAAGCAGTTTTGTAGAAAAGGACTTGGGCATCCTGGTGGACAAGAAATTTGACATCGGCCTTCAGGGTGCCCTTGCAGCAAAGGGCAACAGCAGGTCGAGGGAGGAGAACGTTCCCCTCTATTGAGCACTTGTCAGACCGGACCTGGAGCGGTATCCAGTTTGGAGCTCCCAAGTACAAGACAGATTTTGACACACTGGAATGAGTCCAGCAGAAGCCACCAAGATGGTCAGGGGATAAAGCACATGGCACGTGAGGAGAGGTGGAGGGAAGCGGGTTTGCTCAGCGTCGAGAAGATAAGGCTCAGGTGGGACCTTATAGCCGTCTACAACTACCTAACGGAAGATGTTGGGCAGATGGAGTCAGACTTTTCTTGGAAATGCACAGGGATGGACGGCTACAAGTAGCAATGGAAAGAGTCATCAGGTATTAAATGTTTTTGACCACGAGGGCAGTCATGGGAACAAGTCATGCAGTCATCAACCTTGGATATCTTCAGAACTCAACTGTACAAAGCCCCTGAAGTTGGCTCTGCTTTGAGTGGGGGGCTGGGCTAGATAACCTCTGGAGATCCCCTTTTAACTTCATTATTCTCTGATTCTGTGCTTCTCCTGATAGTGTAACCCAACTTTGTACAAAAGAAGCACCAAAGTCTGGCTTCTTCAATACAGAAAGAATGTGAGATGGGTTTCTGGTTTCATTCACCGGCACCCATTTCAGAAGTTTCCTTCAGAATCACCCACTCTGTCAGGCTTTGCACCTCCTCTGCCGAGACTTAAACCACAACTTCTTTCCTGCCCATCCCACTCAGATGCACCAAACTGGCCATAAATAGAGAGTTACAGGCACACATCTGGTTTTGAGAGTCTAGGCTTTCCTCCCCATTTTTTTTATTTATGGACACCGTCTCTCTGGCCTGAGAAAGCTGTAAGACCTCTCTTTCTCCTGCGCTTTCCTCTTGCTGTTGGCCAACAAGGCAAACTATGCAAGCAGAGGGAGGCAGGTCATCATGAGACCTGCCCTATTTCTAGGTCTTTGTGATCTCAGGTCTCTGAACACGTTTCCTATGGAGGCATCTATCCGTGCTGGAGAGATATGCTGGGTTCTTGAATTTCTCTACTTAAAACGTCTCCATTTTGCACTAAAGACCTCAGTCTTGTGTTTGGTTCAGTCATTACTCATCCTCATGACTCAGAGGAGGGAGGAAGATCTTTTACTCCGGACACGTTTGTTTTCTGTTCCTAGATCTTGCCCAGGTATGTTTGAACTGGCACGCAGTTACAGATTGGCACAGCTGCCAATTTATGACAACAGAGGCAATACTACCGTGCGTGTGCTACACAGAACAGGACATAACCCTTTCATCAAGGATTTTTATCTGTCCTGACCACACAGCAGACATGAGGTTGTCCACAGGCTCTTGAGAGCTTTGAAGTGCAGTAGATATCCTGCAAATCGCAGAGAAGTATAGCAACCCTATAAAAAAGGAGACAAAATGATAGAATCATAGAATCATAGAAGGGTTAGGGCTGGAAGGGACCTTCAAAGGTCATCTAGTCCAACCCCCCTGCAAGGAACAGGGATATCTCCAACTAGATCAGGTTGCTCAGGGCCTCGTCCAACCTGGCCTTGAACGTCTCCAGGGATGGAGCATCCACCACCTCTCTGGGCAACCTGTTCCAGTGTTCTACAACTCTCATGGTAAAAAATTTTTTCCTAATATCCAACCTGAATCTACCTCCCTCTATTTTAAAACCATTACCCCTTGTCCTATCACAACAGGCCCTCCTGAACAGCCTCTCCCCATCTTTCTTGTAGGCCCCCTTGAGGTACTGGAAGACCGCTATAAGGTCACCCCGGAGCCTCCTCTTCTCCAGGCTGAACAGCCCCAACTCTTTCAGCCTGAGGAGCTGAAAAAATGCATCTGGAGGTCCAGTACCCTTCTCATACCCTCTGGGAAAAGGATTACTACCTTGCTCAACAGTTTCAGTCATGCCTCACAGCCAAACTACCTGGTCCTCCATCCTCTCTGAGCCAACACAGAGTGCCAAACCACCACTCAACTTCACATTGCCACCACGCTCAGAGTGCCGGCGCTTTCTGACATTCAACCTCACGTCTGACGGCTGCCCGAGCGGGTTTTAGGCGTGCACCAGCAACACGGTAGGGAAATGGCAGGAATTTAGACTGCAAAAGGAAGTGATGAAGGCTCTGACTGCTTGCCACGTAGTGTGAAACAGAGCACCTCCGGGGCACAAGATGGCCCCTGCAGAAATATAACATGGATACCCTACTTATTAATAAGTAGGTGCACTGTAGGGGGTTGGGTGTTTTAATCCCTTTCTCCGCTATCCTTGATTTACCAATATATTATTTCCACATATGTGTAGTACTGATTAATGGAGTTGGGCTACTGGGAAACTGGTGTGTCGTAGTGCCTTCGCTACGGGGCTGCGCTGCTGCTTGTAACGAGCACTGTCAAAAATCTGCATGTATTTCAGCACTCAACCTACAGAAATACCCTCTACAACTGAATTTATCCTTTGCTGGTAACGAAGCCTTAAAAATGAAAAAGAACAAAAAGAAAACCAGGAAAAGGAACATTTATGACACACACAAAAATGTAGTGGGTCTGCAGCCAAGCGACTGGGTACGTACTAATATTACATCCACGTCGCAGAACTGCATGAGCTAATGCTGCGGAGACTCCGGCAGCATTAGAGAGATTTTTTTACAGCGACAAATTGTAGCTTGCTTGTTCCAAACCATTCACTTAGCCTGGATATTTGCCTAAAATAATTATTATACTTGGTCAAAGCAGGCATGAGAACACACTATACTTACAGAATGAATTATTGCTAAGGAGATAATAGCGTAACCAGTCTGGATGTCTTCTGATTACAGTTCTCCTGAGGTACATGGGTTGTGAGTAAGTAGTTGGCAAGCAACAGGAAAAATAAAACATCAAATGAAACCAGCACTATAATAGCTCCATAACTTTAGGGAGGAGGGGAGAAGAGAAAAACCTTCATTCCCTCCACTGGAAGGATGCAACTCCTTATATTAAGGAATTTATTATCAGATGTTAGCAGGAAACTTTAATCCCTGACATGATGGCACCGGGAAAGAACCTGTTTACAGATTCTTCTCCAGTCTCCACATTTTTCAGCATTTCCAAGGTAGACTTCTCCTAAAAGCATAATCTTGTTTCTTAAAACAAAACCCTGGATCGTGAACTCTCCATCAGGCTTTTTGCCATTTTCCCAAAGGGAAGCCAGATTTCATCAAAGAAAACACCCAGCAGCTGGTACTAAAGTAAATATTTGCTGCTGAGTGCTCAGTGCTTTGGAAAAAAAGTATAAATCAGGGCCCAAATAATGTCTCAATTGCACTAAAAGACATCTGGAGTGATGCCAGAGGGATCGGTGGAGTTACTTCAGCTCCATCAGTGCCCCAGAGCTGCTCACTCAGGTGCCCAAATATGGACCCAGACTCTGAGCTTAGCATCTCAGTTCTGCAGAACTGAAGTTACACGAACTTTTGGTGTTTAAGTGTGTCTGTTGCTATGCAAGACACTGTTTCAGAAGTCTGGCACGGTAAGCAGGTCTACTACTTTATCTGCTCAGGCCTAAAACCTTCACTCCCAAAGACTGGGGAAAAGCAAAATCCTTCAAAATTTACGTTTAGGTGCTATTCTGTTCTTCGTAAAGCCTGATCTCCTCTGGTGGCACCTGGAGGCATCACGGGACAAGCAACGGGCAACTGTTGCGTTCAGTAACAAAGGTAAGAGCACCTTGTTTTAGACACAGTGTTTATTCACCAACTGACCCCGTGGCAAAAAAATCAAGTAGATGGATGAGCTTTTTGTGGAAATGTGGCCATCCCTGCATTCCAGCACAACACAACAGCTTTAGTGCACAGCACACTTTCTTTCCGTTTCCAGAAAAAAAACTCAAAATGGGGTCTATTAAAAAAGAATTCTCACTTACATATCAGTAAGAAGCATCTTGAAACCTTAGCTATTTCTATACATTAGATTTTCTTTTTTAAAACATCATTTTAAAACATCATAACCATCAAAGATGATGAAGGAAGTGGAGCATCTCCCTTATGAGGAAAGGCTGAGGGAGCTGGGTCTCTTTAGCTTGGAGAAGAGGAGACTGAGGGGGGACCTCATTCATGTTTATAAATATGGAAAGGGTGACTGTCATGAGGATGGAGCCAGGCTCTTCTCAGTGGCATCCCATGATAGGACAAGGGGAAATGGATATAAGCTGGAACATAGGAAGTTCTGCTTAAACATGAGGAAGAACTTCTTCCCAGTAAGGGGAACAGAACACTGGAACAGGCTGCCCAGAGAGGTTGTGGAGTCTCCTTCTCTGGAGATGTTCCAAACCTGCCTGGATGCGTTCTTGTGTGATCTGATTTAGGTGGTCCTGCTCCGGCAGAGGGATTGGACTGGATGATCCTTTGAGGTCCCTTCCAATCCCTAGCATTCTTTGATTCTGTGATTTTCTCCCAAGAGGCTTTACAACCTTCACTCTCCTCAGAGTTGCCGTATCCAAAGCCAAAAGCATATCAGGAGGATACCCTTTTACCTCTTTTTCGTTGCCGGTAATCATTTCCCACGTCCCATAGTGGCCTTTCTCCTGCCGGAAGAACTGAATGGCTTCTAAGAACGCCTCGACTTCATACGTGGTCTGCTTGAGAAAATCTAAAGAAGACAAAAAGTAACACAAAGGATTTACCCATAAATAACGTTTAAAAAATAACCATCCTGTTTTGATTCATTTTCCTGCTCCATGTGCATCTAGCAGTGATATTTTCACATCTTTTGTTAAACCCGGATCTCTGAAGACCTTGGGCTTTCATTCAGATTTAGAAGCGTTGAACGATCCCACCGCGCATATGAACTATCCCAAGCCATCCCATCTGAGCTGCTGAGTTAAACCAACACCAGCAAATGTTAATCCGAAGCACGTGGTAAGAGTTTTACTTATGGCAGCAAGCCTTGTCTGGGGGGGGCTTTGACAAGGGGGCCATTAACATCTGAAAGCTCATCCCTTGCCTTTATGCCTCTGAGCAATGCAAGATGGTACCTGGGAAGACTTTGACAGCACGTACCAGGGCCAAGGGTTGGGAGCTTCTGCTTCTTCAAGGCAAGAATTAAGAATGTGAGATAAGAATTTAAGATAACGATAGTCAGCTGATTGCGGCACCCACGCCGTTGATAAATTGCTAAACCCTGAGTTAACGCTCCCCAATAATCTTTTATTTCCTTTGTTTTATTAAAGAATTGATGATCAAGATGGTTTCACATGGACGTGCAATAAAATAGACCTGGACAAAGTAAGTGGCGTGCTCATACCGATTAAGCACAAAAACTTCTGACAAAATCGTGCTGTTGTCCCTAAATATTTCAGGAATGTTTAACCACAGCTCTGGAGTATCTGGTTGTCATCCATGGCTACTGCTGCTAGATGGTAGCTCTTCCCAAGAACAACGTGGTAGCCTGGGGACACCCTCTCGTACAAACGAGACCACAGCACGGAAAAACCTGCGAAGTGGCTGAGCTAGTTTGCTCTTCCAAACTCTGAATAACCAGTCGTTCCACAAAAATTACATCTCAGGCAATGTATTCCTTCCAAACTGCTGAAGGCTTTCAAGAGGGTTGCAGCCAACGCTCTCCTTCGCATGAGAGCTCACAAACCCACAGCTAATTAAGACCGCAAGAGCAGTCACACAGCAGAACTCGTTTGTCATGACTTGGGGAGAAACAGCCCCTCTGCTTCCAAATGTGGAAAAGCTCCCCAGAGCAATCAGGCTGTTGACAAACCTGACTATGAGAAACCACCACCGAAATACTTGAGGAATTCAAGTCTTGTGTCTTTGCTATGAAGCAGAGCTTCAGGATTATTGTGAGGATTATCATCTTAAGGGAAAGCTTTGATCAGCTCAAGTCCTGTTGTCCACATGTCAGGAAGAAAGGAGGGAAGAGAAAGAACGTTAATTCTCTCAAAGGTGAGTACGCTGCTTTAAAATATACTGATATGTATAAACAATTGTTAGGTGAAGAGTCAGACAGCAAGTTCTCAAGCCTTGCCTGTCAAGCAAGACGCTTCTTTTGACTCGTTCATGGAACTTCTAAAGAGAGAAGCTTTACAGGAGGCTTGCATAGATGCCGAGGGCGATACAGGGATTATACAAATTATGGGAAACAACGACGGATTAACACTACAGTGACGCCTGAAATATCTCCTCCATGCGCTTTATACAAACCCAAAAGCTCCAAAAACCTATAATTAATTTCTTCAATGCTTCACCCTGGCTGCTCCTTCAAAACAGCACTGTACAGATTTTATCTACGTGGTGGGCAACCAAGTTTCAGATCTGCTACGAGCCCAAATGTCAGAATTTTCCCTTGCAGAGTTTCCCCTGGGCACAGTAATTACTTCAGGAAGGTATGTCATACACACTGAGGTGCAGTAAACCCTCTCTCAGTGCCACTCCAGAGATGCTGTCCCTATTTTGCAGATATTTGGTGGTCCAGAGAGATCACACAACTTCTTCAAGCTCATGCGACGATCAAACAAGAGGAAAACAGCCAGGTAAAATCCTAACCATACCTTCACTGCTACCTCCGTGACTTACAGCATTTTTAATAGCTAGTCACAAACCAGGATGCTAAAATATCAGTAAAAGAGTTGAAAGTCTGGCAGTTTACCGCCAAGAGAACATCCTCTGATGGCAGCTTTAAGGAAAGAACAGAGTCTTCCACCTGAGAAACTGGTGGAGCGTTGTATCTGACAGCTTTTGTACTTGCAAAATTAAACTGTGGATATTTTGATGAGAAGAGGGCTGGGCTTGGCTGGAGGAAGGGAGAACTGCAGCTCCTGCAGCCCTCCGATCGTGACTCACATGTTTTCCTTCTTCGCAGCTGCGCTCCCTCCTAACCAAAAGGGACAACAGGCCATCCAAAGGGCTGGATCTTGGACGTGCTGAGATGATGACGCGCCAATGCTGACAAGAACCTGCCCTTTAAGATCATCAAGTTTTACACTCCATGCTCAAGGGGGGTATTTTCTCTCTGTTCTGACTGTTCCCAACCCCATAGAGAAGCAGGGAGAAGGTGCTAAAAATCCAAGAGTGATTCATTTGACTAGTTCATGGGAAAAATATCAAGCCGTAAGTACCATAAAATCCCAATCGCGCATTCTTTCCTACGCCAGTAAACACAAGAGAAAAACACAATTAGGGCAGTCTTACTACAAAACCAGGTCCAAGTAGAAAGGAAGCTTTATCCTTCAAGGCTACTACAATTGCTTAATTTAGGCAATTTCACTCCCACTTTCCATAGGAGGAAAAGATTGCATCAGGGATAAGGCACTGAGCAACTAGATCCATCCAGCATTGCGCTGTGCAGAAGCTGTCGGGCGGGCACACAAGACAGAGGCACATTCATGGGATACGGCTCAAGAAAAGAGAATTGTACCCAAGCTGAACGGAGCTGTGGAGCACATCCTCCAAGATTTTAGCGGGGAAGAGCCAGGGCTGCTGTAAATCAGACCTAGCAGTTCATGAGAAGGCTAGAGGACAGCGGCTGGCTTGGCAGCCAGCTCCGTTATGCCACAGCAAAGCAAGGAAAACAAAGAATAAGCTGTTGGGGTAGCCCCGCTCGCGTGCAAGAGCGGGGACGGTGCGTGGGAGACGGAAGCAGACGCTGCAGCTGCACGCAGGGCAGGTGGCGAACCCCAGCGCTATCAGGAACGATTGTTCACCAGCAGAAAGGACAACGTGTGCTTCACTCTCCCAAATGCCCTGGCAGGGGCTGCCCCTTCCACACGTCTGGCTGGCACCCGTCGTGAGTGACGCGTCTGTTCGTGGAAAGCGGAGCGTGTTAGGGGAGCTTGGTGCGGCGGCGGTTGTGGGTCGTCCTTATCCAGCTCCCATACAAAGCCATAAATTTTACTGAATGTCCTCCAGAAAAAGCCCGGTGAGGCTTTACAGGTACCCAGACTGATGCTACGTGCTTAATCCAGGCTGGTCTGCACTTGGAAAATTACCCAAGCAGCTTCTCCAGCTGCTAATGAGTATCATATCAGTTTATCTGTGGTGAGTAAAACAGAATTCTGTTTGCTCTGTTGAATTTTAAACCAAGCAAACCCACCTGGAGACTCTGTCTTTACATATCCAAGTGTGGAGCCTCATTTTAATAACAGGTAAAATTTGCTAACGGCTGATTCCTTCTATAAACATAACAGAGTAAATGCTATAAAGGTCTTTCTTAAAAGACGGAAGGACATGTGGAAACACCATGGCTTTATAATTCTCCCCAGATTTGCACACCTCTCCAAGGCATGGCCGAGTTTGTTGAGTCCTGCAGAAAGCTGACTGTAGGAATGAGCTTCCTTGCAGCGTATGAACAGTTGAAATCCCTCTTCAAGACAAAAATAATAAATCTCAAACCTTAACTCATCAAAATGATACACAGAGGAGCAGGCTACTCGACACCCACGGAGTAGCACCTGCTCCAGAAGTATTAACTTAGAGGGTCCCATTCCTCATTTCAGCTGCATCCGAT